AATATGTTCTTGCTTTGATTGATTATTTTTACTTTAGGGTGTAAAAACTTGGTTGCCAAGAACGAGGACGAATATGTTGAGTTGGCAATTCACTTGGCAACTGATCTAACTGCCCTCTCAAAGCTGAGAATGAGCCTTCAGAACCGTATGCTGAAATCTCCTCTCTGTGATGGGTCAAAATTCACCCTGAATCTTTTTGGTTCTATAGTAACCACGCTCTTAACCCCCCTGCTGGTATTTTAGTTTCACTGCCTCCTTTTCTATTAAATTGCTCGTAATTACAGTAATTAATTATATTTCTTCAAAAAATGTTACAGAGATTAAAGTAGATGCCAGGGTGGAGAGGAAGACGAAATCCGCTGCTCTGCTGCCCGCCACGACACTCTCCCTGCCGGAGGGCAACACAACAATCTTCGTGTAATTGGCACTCCTATCTTGAAGATTTGGTCTTTATTATTTGATTTGAGTAATTTTAGAATATGGATTTTCATTCTTTGTGTTTTTTTTGTTTTCTACTTTGGATTGAAGCAAACCAATGTACTCTTTATTTTGTTTTTGATAAATTTTGTGTACTCTTATTTGCATCTCGCCATCTTATTGTTTTTTGGTTTTATGATGTGAGATTGATTGTTTATATGAGTTCTCAATTCCCTTTGTGTGTAGCAGGACAGTACCCAGCTTGTTCATGCACTTTTTTTTTCGTTTCAATGGAAGTATTTATTTTTTCATGTCCATATAATTGTTTGAAACAATATTTATTTGATTGTTGTACATATAATATTGTTCGAAAGTATGAAAGTAAAGTTAGATAGCGTATCCATTTTCATTGTAAAAAAGATTACCATTACTCTGAACCTTTAAAATAGTTTTAGGCTTAAGAGCTATACTACTATTCAAAATGAATATTCTTAACTTTTAAAATAGTTTTAGGTTTAATACGCACAATTCTCTTAAAAATAGTTTGCTTTATTTATTATAGATAACTGTGAACAAAAACGGTGTGACACACACTGCTAGTAATACATTACGGTTTCTCAAAACTTTGAAAATAGTTTTAGGATTAATAGTCTAACTACTGTTTAAAAAAAGTATTCTTAATTTATTATTAACAACTTGTAATAGATTACGGTTTCTATGAATTTTAAAAATAGTTTTACGCTATATAAATATATTACTTTTACAAGGGAGTTTTCGATTCTTATAATAAACAACTATGAAAAACAAAACCATATGAAACATACAACTAACAATATAATACTATTTCTTATAAGTTTAAAAACAGTTATAAACTGAAAAACCAGACTACTGTTTAGAAATAGTAGTCTTAACTAATTATTGACAATTGTGGCAACGAAAACTGTATTTTTAGGTGAAATGGACTACTAATAAAAGATTACCGTTTCTCACAACTTTAAAAACAGTGCTACCCTTAATTCATAGACTACTGTTATAAAAGAGTCTTTTATTCCCATTAGAAACAACGGTGGCAAAAAAACATATGAAACAGACAACTAGCAATAGATAACTGTTTCTAATAAGTTTAAAAACAATTCTAGACTAAAACATCATACTACTATTTATATAGAGTATTCTTAACTTATTATTAACAACTGTTGCAACAAAAACTGTATTTTGAAGTGACACAAACAACTAGTGATAGATTACCGTTTCTCGAAACTTTAAAAACAGTTTTAAAGCATTATAGCTAGACTATTGTTCTATAGCCAAGAAAAACTCACAGTAGTCTGTTTTTTTTAACTAGACCACTGTTCTATAGTCTGTTTTTTTTTTTTAACTAGACCACTGTTCTATAGTCTGTTTTTTTTTTAACTCACAGTAGTCTGTTTTTTTTTAACTACTGTGTTTCTATAAACAGTAGTTAATCAGCAGTCGTCTGATACTGTTTTTGGCGTAGTGATTACAAAGTTGAAACCTAGATTATGCAGCATATGGCGGGTTGAATGGTCTAATTTATCCAAAATGTACCAAGCATGGTCATTCAAAAAGTTTGACATTCATCCATAATACTCTAAAAGAACCTCATAGTTTGATTTTTTTTGTTAAAATTGAATTTTAAAATGATTTCAAATTTACTACACTTACATTATAACTACATATATTTTTTCTACAAATTATGGTCAAAGTGTTGTGGGTCCAGTCCATTTTATTTGGGTTCCATTTTTCTTTGGTGGAGGGCCCAATTGTGTTTTTACTTTGTTGACTAAAAAAAGGAGAGTAAAAAAAGGGCTGGGCAGTGGACTTACGGACAAGGTAGAGAGAGAGCAGAGAAAAAAATCAGAATTGAGAGAGGAAAGGTGCTGGTGCAGTATTTACAGACCAGCCGCACAAATTCGATCATAGCAGGAGATCCTACCGTTGGATTGAGCTGAAATTTTCAAAGGTTGTTCCCAACACTTAGGGCTTCAATCTGTTTAAGTTTCACATTAATCGGAGCTACGGATCTTCTGTAATCGCAGCTGGTGCGACGCTGCGTTTTTGGGTGATAATCCTGATTTTCCTTCTCTATTGTTGATGCCTCTTATGTATGTTGTTGTTGGTGGGCTGTGACATCCTTGTAGACTGAGTTTGGGTGTTTTTACCCTCAATTTGCATAATAAGAGAAGAAGAGGGCGGACTCCCTATAAGTCCCGTGGTTTTTATCCTTCACATCGAAGGGGTTTTCCACGTATAAAAATCGTGTGTCGTTTGCATCTTTATTCTTCATATTTGATTGTGGTTTATTTGATGTGCTGCTGATTTTGTGTGCTTGGTTAATCAATGGTGGTAATTTGGGTCAAGAGTGTTTGGTTGGTTGTCTTGAAATTGATCCTTGTAGGTGCATCCTACTTGTTACTTCTCTCCCAACATTTGGTATCGGAGCATTGGTTAAACCGTAGATATGGAGTCAGGAAATCATTCTATGGTTAAATTGACATCAACCAATTATTCAATTTGGCGTCCTATGATGGAGGATTTGTTATATTGTAAAGATTTGTTTGACCTAATTGATGTGGATAAAACCAAGAAGGATGACATGCCCACTAAACCAGAGAAGATGACGGATAAAGAATGGGAAAAACTAAAGAGAAAGACCTTGGGGACTATTAGACAGTGGATTGATATTAGCATATTCAATCATGTATCCCAAGAGACTGAGCCACTCGAGTTGTGGAGAAAATTGGAGGGTCTTTATGAGAGAAAGACTGCTCATAACAAGGCCTCGTTGATTAAGAGGCTTGTTAGTCTCAAGTTGAAGCCAGGAAAATCTGTTTCTGAGCATCTTAGTGATTTTCAAGATATCATTAACAAGTTGACTGTGATGAAAATTGTTTTTTATGATGAGTTGCAGGCTTTATTCCTATTGAGTTCTTTGCCAGATAGTTGGGAGACTTTGGTTGTGTCTATCAGCAACTCAGCTTCAGATGGTGTGCTTTCATTGGATGTCATTAAAGAGAGCATGTTCAATGAAGAGCTTAGAAGAAAGGAGATGGGTGTTGACACTTCACAAGCACTTGTGGTGGAGAATAGAGGAAGAAGCAAAAGTAGAGGACCTAAGGGGCGTGGCAAGTCAAAGTACAGGTCCAAGTCCAAGGATGGGAGAGAGCCCACTATATGTCACTATTGTAGCAAATCTGGCCATATTCAAAAGTTTTGCTACAAGATGAAAAGAGACCAGCAAAAGAAGAAAAATGATCATCACAAAGAGGGTGATGACAAGAATACAACGGCGACAGCTTCTACTTCAGATGATGGTGTTTCATTGGTTTGTACTGCCGGTGATTGTTGTCATGTTGATAATTCTGATTCTGAATGGCTTGTTGATACAGGGCTTCTTATCATTGTGTTCCTCATAAGGAGTACTTTATTGACTACCGAGTTGGAGATTTTGGTAGTGTGAAGATGGGAAACCAAAGTTCAGCCAGTATTGTTGGAATTGGAGATATTCGGGTTCAAACCAGTGTTGGGTGCTATATGACTTTGAGAGATGTTCGCCACATTCCAGATCTACGCCTCAATTTATTGTCTGCTAATGTACTTGATCAAGAAGGTTACAAGCATACTTTTGGTGAGGGTAAATGGAAATTGTCAAAGGGTTCTTTGACTGTTGCTCGTGGCAAGCTTTGTTGCACCTTGTATAAGACACACTTGAAAGTGTGTACTAGTGAGTTGAATGCTGTTGAGGAGAAAACTTCTCCTAACTTATGGCATCGCAGATTGGGCCATGTTAGTGAGAAGGGCATAAAGCTGTTGGCTGGTAAGTCTCTTATTCCTGC